ATATGTGACCTAGATAGAAAAGATCACATCATAAACAAATTAGAGGAACAAGGAAAGAGATAGTTTTCGTAATTATGGATAAGAGAAGAGTTCTTGACTAAACAAAAGAGAGATTCACAGAAGGTAAAATCGATAGTTTTCATTACACAAAATTGAAAAACTTTCGCACAAACAAAATCAGTGCACCAAAATTAGGAAGCACTTAACTGGGAGGGGGGGAAAAAACCTTTCAACAGATCTGACATCCTGGATATGTATAGGGAATGGATTCCAATATATAAAAAGAAGAGATAAATGGTCAGAGTTTATATGAATAGGCAGTTATCAAGGGAAGAAATCCAAGCTATCAAGAATCATATTCCACCCCTCAAAAATGTTCCAAAAGTCATTAATAATAATAACATGCAAATTAAAGCAACTCTAAGCTTTCACTTTCCACCAATCCAATTATCAGAAAAATGACAAATGTTGGAGAACCTGTGGGAATCCAGGCACATTAGTGTACTGTTAGAGGAGCAGTGAATTATTCCAGCCCTTCTGGAAAGCAATTTAAAGGTATTCCTCCAAAAGTCACTAAACTATACGTATCCCAGAGTAGAGCTCATTAATAGAATAGCATTATATTATGAGAAACAATGGAACAGATTCAGAGAAACTTGAGAAGACTTGTGTGAACTGATAGAGATCAAAATGAAGAGAACCAAGAAAACGTTTTGTATAATAAAAACAGCATTTTAAAGAAAAACAACTCAGAAGGATTTAAGAACTATAATTAATGGAATCACAGCCCTTGACTCTGGAGTCTGCATGACGGAACCTGCTACCGCAGGGTGGTGGGCTGTGAGTGCCAGGGGAAGCTATGTTTCCAGACATGGGAAACCGGTGTTCACGAAGGCGAAACTAAAAGGAAAGACAGTCACCAAAAATGCGCCCAAGTCAGTCCAGAGGAGACACAGACAACAGGAGAGCTTTGAGACTGGCAGACTGACTTTATTAAGTTGTGTGTGATTGCAGTTTGCCCGTTATGCCTCCTTCTTTTTCTGTTCTGCGTGCCCATGTTTGCTTGTGTTTGTCAAGTTCAGGATAACAAAAAATAATAATAATAATATTTAAAATAGCCTGAACCTCAGGGAGGGTTGGTACTGAGACGCCTTGATAGTCTTTGTTCTTAGGGGTCAAGGCAGATACCTCCAAGATCAAAGTTCTCACAGCTGTGTGCTGCATTCCAAAATGTTTGTCGCCAGGCCACCTATACATTAGTGGCTGCAGATACCTGGGGCTGCCTGTCTGCAGTGGATATGACTGCAGTCCCCAGTTAGCCAAGCAGCATCTGGCATGAACTCGGGGCCCGAGTGCCTCTGCTGCTCCGCGGTGCCGGCGGTCAAGGGCATCAGTCCACCAGAGGCTGGCATTTCCACTTTCCCTCCAGCCATGGGAGGCAGTCCTCCCAAGTCAGAGAGTCTACAGATTGTCCTCAGCTGGGTGAGAGAGATTATGAAAAATCAGAATGCCAGGACTTTGGGACCATTCCTTTCATGAAGAAAGGGTCAGACCCAAAGAGACCTGCAGGGCCGTGCATCCTGGGAATGTGGGTGTGGGCCAGGATTCAGGCTGTGGTGTCCCTGAACGTGAGTGAGTCATTCAGGCTGTTGGAGGATCCATCCAGTTTGAAGAAGAGAAGACTGGGGATGGGAAGACCTTGTAGATCACCTTGTAGAGGAGGGGGCAGGCTCTGAGCCAAGAGGCCCAAGAGGAAACTGGAGGAATGGCGACAAGGCCTTCTTGACAGTTAGAAATGGTTGAAGATGTCATGGGCTGCCTTAATGATAGGGGGGCTCCCCTTCTCTAATTTTTCTTCTTTTTTAGTTTAACAAAAACCTCTTTTCTCTCCCACCCACCAGAAGAAACGATCTATGAATAAAGCAGATATTAAGCACCTACTGTGCACTGGAAAGAAGGGGAAGTGCCTTGGAAAAATGCACCAAGTCAAGTAAAACAAACCGTATGTGGGAAGGCTCCAGAAGAGCTCTGGGCTTGGGTCAGGATCACTCAATGCCCACGGATGTCCCTTCCTCCATGACTTCTGGGAGGTTCTGGGTGCCGCCGCTTTCACCTCTGCCCCAGGAGCAGACAGGGAGGGGCGCTGGCTCAGCTCTGCAGCTCGCGCATCACCGGGTGTGGGCCTTTTACCTGCAGCAGGCCTGTGGTCCCATTTTAGAGAGGAGGACAGTGGAATCCAGGGAGGTGGGGCCACAGCACGCCCAGTTATGCTGTCAGTGAGGGTCAGGGCTGGGAGCCGAGCTGGGTCTGTGCTGGCTCTAGGTTCCACCCCCTGACAAGCCTCTTAACAAAGCTCTGATTCTGTCCCTACCTCCAGAGACTCAGCCTTCAGGCCCTCCCTGCCTCCCTCCCAGGGCTGTTTGCAGGAAAGCATTTAACCACAAAAACCTGACTATGCTCCAGCCCCCCTGTGGGTGAAGAAGGGGCAGGAGCCCAGGATGAAGAGCCCGAGGGGCCAGGTGGGACCCTCCCATGCCACTTCCCCATTTGTAAACTGAAGGTGCCCCTTCAGGCTCTAGAACCCAAGGTCCTCCAAAGTCGCATTTGCCTCTGGTGTACCTGCACCTGCCACCGGTCAGTGGAAAGGGCCTGGCACCGTCTCACCACCCCCCTCTCTCGGGGGCTGTCCAGAAACATCACTTCCTTTCTGTGGCTGTGAGTTTTCCCAGCGTGGCCACTGACAGCTGTGGTCCGTGGCACCGATCCGGCCGCGCACAGATGCCGGACTCGGGCCCCCAGGAAGCCATGGATCTCCTCCAGCTCCTGGATGACATGGCCTTCTTGGGGCAGGTCCGTTGGGGCATCCCAGGAGAAGGCGGCCTTCTCTTTCTGTCCGAAGCCAGGCGTGTTGCCTGGGTTTCATTGTCAGCAACCTAAGTTTCAGAAAAATGCGAAAGAAATTGACGCGCGCCCCCCCCCCCCAGTAAATCAGAGGCTTACTTTGATCCTCTTCCCTGCTGGTGGCGAATCTCCCACGTGGAATGTGCCACGCCCATGATGCTGCGACGAGGCTGTCAGTGGCCTCACTGCCACCCTGACAAGGGGAGAACTCGACTGCCCAGGGCCAGCCAGCTGGGCAGAGGGGGCTGGCCAGGCAGCTTTGGGACAGGGGCACAAGTCTGCAGAGGAAGCTGGACATCTGCAGGCAGGTCGGCATGTTCCACAAGGAAAAGGCCAAGCTACCGCCCTCCATCACGAGAGGAATGCAGTGTGACCTGGGTCCCCCTTTCTGGCCCAGGGACCTCGCAGCTGCTGGCAGGGGTTCTTCTGGGCTGCCCCCGACGTCGCCTGACCCCTCCTCTGGTGCAGGGCTCTCTCCTTGGCTGGGCGGGGCCCAGCTTGTCTCCAGGGCCACGCTCGTAGCCACGTCTCGTATTTCAGGGGCAGCCTCAGAGACCCTGGGGAGCGCCAAAGGAAGAGAGACAGATGGACAGACCGACCGTGAATCTCTGCCCTTGCTTGGGTTTGTTTGCTTTGTCTTTGCTCTGTCCCTGCTGGGAATTGCACCAGATGCAGATGCTCGTGACCACTGATAGTGTATGCAGCGTTCCTCACCCCTGGTGTCCCACCTGCACCTTGGCCAATAGGTCAGCGAGTGTGCCAAAATCTGCTCGCTGAGCACCCTCGCTGCCCCACCAGGGTGGCAGTGCCGTGTCAAGCAGAGGGAGGAGTTGGGGGCTGCAGCCCCCCAAGCTGGCAGGAGTGGGAGGGCCGGGGGGGCTGCCTCTTCAGTGCAGGTGGCTCAGGTAGAGGCTTTTCCCACAATAATTAACGGGGGCAAGTAGCCGCTAATTGCACATTTCAGGAATGATTTATGAGGCAGCGGAAGGGATCTCATCTCGCTGGGAACAGCCACCATCCTCCTAGTTGTATTGGCACAGCTGTGAGATGGGACGTGATTAATGAACGTGGGCAAACACGGAGGGGCCGTTGGAAAGGGGTGGGGACTGCCTTCCCAGCCCCCGCCCTCTGCTCCCCCACCCCTCACTGTCCACACGCACCCCAGAAGATCTCCGCTGGCACTTTGTACTGGGTTTCGTGAGCATCAGGTTCACCAGTTTTTGTCCCTTTAAACAGCATTTAAATCTGTGAAAGCCGAGCTGACCCCACAATTCATCTCCATTTAAAACCTGGGCAGAGTCGGGGAGGTTTTTTTTTTTTAATTTTTTTTCTTTTCTTTAAAGCAGAATACTTTTTATTTTTTAATTTTTAACATAAATTTATTTATTTTTAGTTTTTAAGATTTACTTCCACAAGATTTTGAGTTCCAAATTTTCACCCCATCTTGCCCCTTCCCCCACTTCAAGATGGCATGCATTCTGAATATCCCTTCCCCTAGTCTGTCCTCTCTTCTATATCCCCCCCACCTTCTCTTATCCCCTTCCCTTTCTATTTTCCTGTAGGGCAGGATAGACTTCTGTACTCCATTTCCTGTATTTCTTAATTCCCAGTAGCATGTTTTTTAAACATATGTTTTTAAAACTTTAGGTTTCAAGTTTTCTCCCTTCCTCCCTCCCCACCCGAGTTGGGGAGGTTTTTAAAAGCTCCCGTGTCTGCCGCCCAGTGCACGCATGGACAGGCCTTCGTGGGCTGCCGAGGCACCCCCTGAACGCCCCCTCAGGGCCGCTTGGTCCATGCCGGCCCAAGTGCTTCTTGGGGGTCTCACTCGGCTAGAAGGTCAGAGCAGCCCCCAAGTGTGTCTGTAGGGGAAGGGAGGAGGGGTCCCTCCCGGACAGGTGTCAGAGCCAGCCCCAGCCTAACTGGGGGGGAATGCCAGAGGGGCCTGGGTGGTGATCGTCCTGACTGGGAGGCCGACCCTCTACCCCTGGGCCTGAGCCTAGGTGCCTCTGCTGCCAAGGTGCCTCCCTTCCTGGGCTCGGCCTCCAAGCAGCCTCTCCCTAGTGACGGCTGACTTGGGCATCTTTTCCTTTTTCCCATAGCTCTTGGAATTCGACAAAGAGCTGTCTGTCTTTAAAGACAAGTTGTATGAACTGGACATCTCATTTCCTCCTAGGTAAGTGAGTTTCTCTGCCTTTCCTGTTCTGGCTGCCTGCTGCAGAGGCTGCTTGGGGGAGTGGGCGCCCATGGCCGGGTGGTGTGAGCTGACCCATCCCATTCTGGAGCATCCTTTCCCTAAGCACAGGAGAGAAAGATGCTAGGGGCCTGAGGATGCCATCCTAGGGGGAAGGATGTTCTCAGGGGAGAGGAGACTTCTGCTGAGCTTAACCGAGAGACCATGAACTTTTTAAAAAATACTTTGATGATCATACTGCAGATAAAATCGGTTTTCTTTGTAACCCTAGGTGTTTTATGCATTTAAAAATACAGTTCTCAGATGGGGCCCTTAAGCTTCCCCAGACTGCCCAAGGGGCCCCTGATGCCTTCCCCCCCAAAAAAGGTTAAGGTCCCGGGTCCGGAGCTGGAAGGAAGGAAGTTGGGGGAGGGTTTTCTTTGGAAACCATGGCAGGTGTTTCCGCTCTAGAACAGAGTTAAGATGTTCTGTTCTAGTCAGTAGGCTGGCTACACACACACCACACAGACACGTACGCACATGCACACACGCATGTGAGTGCATGCACACACATACACATGTTTATGCATGCACACATACACACACACACCCGTATTGCAGCAGAGAGAGGAAGAGACTGGGAGGACCTCAGCTGCCTTGGGGCTTCCAGGAACCCTTGTGAATAGAGGCTTTGGAGACTGGGTTCTAGTTAAGTCATTTTTAAGTAAAGCAAGAAACAGTGAATCATTGAGAACATGGCGCATGGGCTCCTTCTTCCTAGAGGAAAATGTGACTTGTCAGGATCCCACAGGTTTTATGCCCAGGTGCTTTGACTCCAAAACTAGCACTAGGGTAAACTGAGTCATGGGTCACTCACCTGAAGGAGCTGAGGAAGTATGGACTTGGGGCAGGCAAGTAAACCAGAGAGTTTTGGAAGAAGGTGATCAGGACGGAGAAGGGCCTGGGGAAGAGGTGCCTAGGGGAGATGCACTAATAGTCACATACTGGAAAGGCGTATCTGGCTTCTTGAGGGCTGGGGGGGCCTGCGCTGTTGCAGAGGTGTGATAGTCTAACCGGGGGGGGGGGACCGTGAATGTCAGATGGACTTCCAGGATGACTTTGACCAATGGCGGTGTTGATCTCCACTTCAGAAGGGGAAGGGAAAGAAATAAGCATTTATTAAGTGCCTGCTGTGTTCCAAGCACTGCTGAGTGCTTCACAAATATCATCTCAGTGATCCTCCTGACAGCCCTGGAAAGGGCTATTAGCTCATTTTACACTTGAGGAAAGTGAGGCAGATAGATGTTAAGAAACTCGCCTGTGGTCCTGCAGCTAGGAAGTGTCTGAGGTCAGATTTGAACTTGGGTCTTCTTGTCTCCAGGACCAGCACTCTGGCCACTGCACCACCCAGCTAGCTGCTCTGGCTTTTATTTCCAGACTTGGTACTCATGTCCAGCACTTGGGGGGCCTCAGCTCTGGGGCAGGGAAGACCCAGGAGGTGAGGGGAGGTGATTCTCAAGCAGAAATACTGTGCCTGAGGAGACGGCGTTATTCATGGCGCATACCTGAGCCAGTCCAGTCAGCCGTCAGCCCCACTCTACTTAAGCCTGTGACAGCCACCCGTGGCTGGGGGGGCGGGGCTGGACCCTGCCTTTTTCTCCAGCCCAGCCCACCCCCCCTCCTGAGGTACTCAGAGCTCAGTGGGAGAGAGCTGGGCTGCTGGGCTCCCCCCCCACCCCCATCCGCCCTTTCCCCTCCTGCCCTTTCCCCATCCCTCGGCACCTCAGCTCTTCCCCAGGGAGCCATGGCCAGGGCGTTTTATGGCTCAGAGCAGTCAGTTTCAAATAGCCATTCCAGTAAGGGCCACGATTTCTGCCCAGGAAAGGGTCACACTGACTGCAGATCCCAGAGTCCAGGAGCCCCGAAATGATGCCAAAAACATAGTTAGAAAGAGGTGAGGTGACCACTGGCCCCCAGGCCTCCCGCCACCCCCAGCCCCCACCAGGGTGCTGATTCCTCCTCCTCTGTAAGGCTGGGCTCTGGTGGAGACCCTCAGGTCTGCTGGGAACTCTGGCCATGGGGCTCCCGGGTGGCCACTTTCCTTTCCCTTACAGCAATGGTATCATCTGATATTTTTTAAAGCATGGAAAATGGAAATATCCTGCAGCTGGGCCAGGCTTCATGCACCCCAGGATGGCAAGGTCATTCCAGGTGGTCAGAGAGCATATTGGGTAGGCCTAGCAGAAGAGTGGGGGACCGATGGGGCAGGATGGGATATATACTGTCAGATGAGCTCCTCTCCAGCTCTCCTCTCCCTCCTTCTCTGTCTCTCTGCATCTCTCTCTGTGTCTCTCTGTCTCCTTCCCTCACTGTCTCTCTGTCTCTCCCTCCTTCTCTGTTTCTATATCTGCCTCCTCTCTGCCTTCCTCCTTTATCTCCCTCCTCTGTCTCTCTGCATCTCTCTCTGTCTGTGTCTCTCTGTCTCTGTCTCCCTCTTCTCTGTCTCTTCATCTCTCTGTCTCTGTGTCTCCCTCCTCTCTCTGTCTCTGTCTCTCTCCTCCTCCCTCCCTCACCCAGGTGCTGTGGCTACTTCGTTTCTCTCCATAAGAAGGGAGGGTTGGGATGGGGCGGAGGGGGAGAAGAGTGTGTTCAGAAAGTCTGTGGTTGGGGCAGCTGGGTGGCACAGTGGATAGAGCACCGGCCCTGAAGTCAGGAGGACCTGAGTTCAAATCCCACCTCAGACCAAACATGTGACACTTACTAGCTGTGTGACCCTGGGCAAGTCACTTAACCCCAACTGCCAAAAAAAAAAAAGTCTGTGGCTTCCTGGCAGAGTTTGCTCTCGGAGGAGGGGCTGCTGGGGTGAGGGCTGTTGGGGCTTTGCAGGGGAGGGGCTGGTCCGGCCATGCCAGGAGAGTCATGACAGTTTCCATTGCAGGGAGCTGTTGGGGAAGCTCCTTCACTGGCTGCGTGAGTGTGCCCAGGTTAGGAGCAGTAGCGGCTGCGAACCCCTCTGCTCCAGAAGCGGCATGGGATTAGGATAAGAAAGCGACAGGGGCATTGGAGGCCTTGGCGCCCAGATTCCGCGGCCAGGCATTTGCCCCCAGAAGGGCCCCCTGGCCGGCCAAGTGTCGCTGTGGCGCTGGGTGCCCACGCAGAGCACCTGTTCTCAGGGCACAGACAAGTCGATACCTGAATGGGCAGAACCGGGAGAGGGTCTCTATTGGTCAGTCCCTGTGGGCTGAGGGCACCCCGCCAGGAAGTGGTGCCTCCTCCACAGCCCCACACAGCTGTTGAGACCCATTCCGAAGTCAGCTGGGGGCGGGGGCGGGGGGTCCCTTGGTGCTTCCTTGGCAGGATGCCCCAGGAGCCGGGTCGGACTGGGCAGAGCCAGCCTCACTCAGGGGCTCTGTTCTGGCCACGCAGGGAGGAGATGGCCCAGCGAGCCATGTGCTTATTTAAAGAAACAGGTCGATTTTCATGGGTAGGAGAGCAGGCACCACCCAGCCCGGGGAAAGGCTGCTGTTAGGGCTCAGGCCTGTTTGCAGTTGGCTCGCGAAGCAGGCAAGAGTTGCCTTGATTTCTCAGGCCCAGCTTCGCGTTGATCTCAGTGCACCTTGGGCCTGCGGCTCCCTGGCTAGGCTAGCCCCGTGACCTTGGCAGCACGTTGGGGAGGAAAGGGCAGAGTATTTGGGATCCAGAGTCTAGGCAGGGCGTCTGGCCCTGCTCGTTAATGCATCTGGATGAGCGTGGGTGAGCCGGCTCCGCCCCCTGGGCCTCGGGCGCGGTGGGGAGGCCTGGGGGACTGGCCCCGGACATAGGCAGGGAGGCAGGGGGCACTGGACTCGGACACAGCAGGGAGCCCTGGGGGACTGGCCTCGGACACGGGGGGGGAGGCAGGGGGACTGGCCTCGGACACAGGTGGGGAGGCCTGGGGGACTGGCTTCGGACATGGAGGGGAGGCGGGGGGACTGGCCTCGGACATGGTGGGGAGGCAGGGGGACTGGCCTCGGACACGGAGGGGAGGCCTGGGGGACCTGGCCTTGGACACGGAGGGGAGGCAGGGGGACTGGCCTCGGACATGGTGGGGAGGCGGGGGGACTGGCCTCGGACACAAGCGGGGAGGCGGGGGGACTGGCCTCGGACATGGTGGGGAGGCCTGGGGGACTGGCCCCGGACATGGTGGGGAGGTGGGGGCACTGGCCTTGGACACAGGCAGGGAGGCCTGGGGGATGGGCCCCGGACACAGCAGGGAGGCCTGGGGGACTGGCCTCGGACATGGCGGGGAGGCCTGGGGGACTGGCCCCGGACATAGGCGGGGAGGTGGGGGGACTGGCCTCGGACACAGCTGGGAGGCCTGGGGGACCTGGCCTTGGACACAGGCGGGGAGGCCTGGGGGACCTGGCTTCCCACAGCAGCGTCAGGAAGGGGATTCCAGGGCTGGAGGAGCCGCTCCTACCGCAGGGGATGCTCAGGGAGTCAGTCAGCAGCCCGGGCTGAGAGCGTGGCCAGAGTGGGTAGGACAGCACCCAAGCCCCAGGAATGCTGGTGCCAACAAGAGCAGAGAGGGGGAGGAAGAGCTGCCCTCCTCCTTCCAGTCACAGAGTCCTCCAGCAGAGGCATGTGGTCAGTCAGAGTCCACTCCAGGCCCAAGAGTCGGGGGTAGGGGGTACATGGTCAGTCAGAGCCTGCACCAGGTCCCAGAGTTGGGGGCGGGTGGGGTCAGAGAATTGTAGTCAGTCAGAGTCCGTGCCAGGCCCTGGAGTCAGACTTTCCCGGGGGGCATTATTTATATTTGGCAAAAGAAGACTAGATAAGACCCACAATGGCACAGTGCTTGAGATACTCTGACATGGGACACTGGCTTTTAGGATTTCTAAGAATTTAGCATTTTGGAAGAAAATTTTGTCTCCTTTACTATGGCGGAGAGGCCCCTGCTTTTAGGACCTAAACTCTGAACCCCATAGTCTTCTGACTGCCCTGAGATCCAGGGGCAGAGGGAA